GTTAGCATTGGCCTCATCCAAGTGATGCTGATCTCCGAACACGCAAACCTTCATGGCCGGTCGAGGAACATTCTTCAGCCTGTAAAGAAGGACATATATGAAACGGGCTACAGCAATCAGCAGCAACTGAAAAAATTCGTCTTCAACTTCGACCTTATTCGAACGCTTTTCACAAAATTCTATTCGAGATTCTAGTGTGAATCTCTATCTTTCAATTGGCGTTCACCTCCAGAAGGCAATCGCTTAAGCCTCCAAATGAAGGACATGCATTGACTTAGACAAGGAATGGGCTCGAAAACTCCTGACCACCCCAAAACAGCGTTCACACTTAGCGTTTTGAGCGACTAGGAACGTATAGCTTGAGCATACAAATGCGCACCAAAAGGTCGAAACAGCTCGCGAAAACGCTCAGAAAGCTACATTGATTCCTGTACTTTCCTAGTTGCCAAAAATGCGACGCACACTGGTGTATGCTAGATCGGTACCTATACCTTTGCAGCCGCTCGAAACGCTCAGAAAGCTGACGCAAAGTATGAACGCAGCCACAGGCTTTGGAGGCGGACGAATCACCGAGGGATTGCCTAGCCTAGACAGCGCTTACACCAATATCAACCTTGCTTAGGGGGAAAGAACACAGAGCAGCCGAGGATCTTTCTCAACTGGGACCCCAGCCCCCTCTACTTGGGATCAAACGTTATCTAAAGCTGGACTTCCGCTAGAAAAATTGCAATTTCATTGCCTATCCCTACCTTGCGAAGAAGTATAATTCACCGCATATTTGTTGGTGCCGTGGAACTCATTTATCCCACAACAGCACCGGATTATTCAACATTAGCCATCTAAAAAATGTGACCCACTAGGCGATTTCAACCGGAACAATTTGCTTCGATTGATCAGTTCGCTAAAGTATTTATTCATGACAACCCTCCCCAAGGAACAAATGATTAAAACGCGTATTCTTCCGCTTCACATAACTTTCTTTTCCGGATCAATAACCTGGCTCACAACTCCCTGGGTCCAGATGAAGCCCCGTTCGCTGTGGATAAAGGGGCGTGTCAGGCGGGATGGATTTGGCGTGGCGCCAAACGCGTTTTCCTCCACTTGCCTAAGCGAGTAAGCGACAACAACCGATGGAAAACGACTGATACGAACGATAACACAGACTTGTTGCCTGCTCGCATTAATAACTGCTGCAAAATGTGTTTGGCGCCGCGCCAAACCCATCTCGCCTGACACGCCCCTTCATGCGAAGCGAACAAGGGTGTAACTCGACAGTACAAACCAAACCTTTTTTTGAATAATTTCAAAGAAGAAGAGCTTGATGAAGGCGCTTACCAAGTGGTAACTATTTTACACTTTGTTCGGCAATGCCTCCCCAATTTTTAAGACCCTGGGTGAGGGTCCGCCATTTTACAATGGCTCCCTGTAAACTACAGGTAGGAGTGTAGTACCTGACGGCGCCGCTGAAACGCTTGTCCTTCTGAGGATCGTAGTTTTTGAGACCGATCTGGAGCTCGACTGTTTCGCGGAATTTCCTTTTCTTCTCCTGTGCGCCCTTGAGGACATCGGCTACAGCCTCGTTGAGAGCTTCACGTGAAACCTTCGACATTGTTACCCCTGAAAGAAAAAAAATAAGCACTCATCTGAAGAATCGATCCAAACAAATGGAGGTCATGCAGGGCAAACGCAAAAAAGGCCATGAAAGAAAACGCAGAGAACAATGTCCCATGGCCAATTTTGGGACACCACTGAAAAGCAGCGGAGGTCAAAAGAATCCGTGAAGTCCCTCAAACCTAGCGCTTGCATCTTATGCATTGCCTACTTTGCCAGAACGCACTGGTCCCAGGAGAATCCACCCCATAATAGAAAGAAAACCAAATAAAGCTGCTACCCACGACGTCAGAAGCAGAGCAAATAAAAGACGAAAACGCCCAAATGGCACGACCGGCCCTTTTCCAAGGTACGGTAGGTAGCTGCAGACTATCGCTTCGGGACCAGTGGCTTTGTAGAAGAAATTTTTGCTTATAACGCGAAATAACGGCGCGTTCATCAAGGATTACCGCGGGACTATGTTTCCGAAGTGAAAAACGACCTAAGTACTCGGCAATATTTGTAAATTTACAAAATTTAAAAGAATAGCAAGGTCTCTACGGGCTACAGTAGTCTGTGCATGCCACCCGCACTGCGGCCGCGTCGCGTGCCAACTTCGCGTTTATCAAGGTTACTTCGGCCGAGCCATATCATCGGAGTCGCTCCATGTTCGGCTACTAATAGTTTCTTGCGGTCCAGTGAATTGATGGGATTTTTATTCAGTAGAAAAACGTTCAAATAAGGCCCCTTTTGTTCGTATGACGTGTAGTTGCTCAAGATCCCACTAGACTGATCTCGTAGTGTGATGTTTTTTTCACGTTTTTGTCTTTGTCGTTCTCTTGGTCTTTCTTCTGCTGTACCAATGTCTTTCTTTTCCGTTTAGGATCATGTCAAAGGTCGCGGAGAAGAAAATCATCAACGAAAAGATCGCAAAAGTTCGCGAAGTGGTTCATGGTGTTAGTACAAATGATATTATATTGGCTTTGTATTCACTAGATATGAATGTCGAACGAACCATTCAAGCATTTTGCGAAGGTATTTTTGTATTCTTTGAGCGCTACTGGCGCAGAACTAGTTAAAACTTCCCTCGAATAACTTGTTAGCAGACGGAGCGTCGGAAGTGCTCGACGACTGGGTAAGACCGGTTGGCAGTTCTTCTAAGAACAAGAACAAGAAAAAGAAGAATAAGCAGCAAGTGGAGCCTCAGCCAGCCACGGCACCAGCCACGACCGCCACCGTTGCTCCTTCTACGGCCTCCGCGTCCAAATTAGCCAAGGCAGCTCCACCAGCGAAAGGTACGTGGAACTTTTTTCTAAAATGTTACGCAGTGAATGGAGAGCGGATATCAAACCCCTTTTCTGAACAAAAATTAATGTGTACTTTCTTGGTCATATGCTATTGAAACGTAGGGGGTATTGTGCAGGTGACACAATACCCCCTACGTTTCAATAGCATATGACCAAGAAAGGCACATGCGCAGTCCAAGGGTCATATCCCGGCTCGGCTTCCGTTCAGGCCAGTTACCTTCTAAGGTTCGGGTACGGTGAATTACTACCAGGTTCGCCTGATAGGATAGGAGCACAAACATCTACATCGGCTAGTTCCCCCGCCCCCAAGTCCCTGTGTAGGCCATATCGCATTCCATAAGGCTGCGTTCATACCGTGCGACGGCGTCGTCAACGTCGACGTAACCGACGAAAGCGACGTAACCGACGTTTTCGACGACTAGTTCGCGAAGATTATATACGTATCGATCCGACGTAACGGACGAAACCGACGTAAGCGACGTAACCGACGACAGAAGATTAGATACGTATCGACTGACGTCGAAAACGTCGGTTACGTCGCTTACGTCGGTTTCGTCCGTTACGTCGGATCGATACGTATATAATCTTCGCGAACTAGTCGTCGAAAACGTCGGTTACGTCGACGTTGACGACTACGTCGCACGGTATGAATGCAGCATAAGCCACTGCGGTTCTGAGTGGGATAGAATGTGTGCCGCATCCCAAAAAGGATTGATCAACTGCAGAGACCACCTTTTTTATGTCGAAAATCATGTCATACGGTTTGGAATTAGAAAAAGTGGCGTATATGCTGAAGGAGTTGGGGCAACCACCAGAGCACGGAACGCTGTATCCTGTAAGTTTCTGCTGTAATGAGTGTAAGAGCTAGCAAGAGCAAACTACAGCGGTTCAGTTTCACCATCTTATGTGATGATGTAGTGAGAAGTGGCACGCTCACCACACGTAAGAGGATCAGATTCTGGCTCCCGCCTAGGCCAACCAAGCTTTCTACGCTCTGGGACATTAAGCTGGTACCAGATTCATCTGGCAAAGTAAAAAAGCACTTATACATCGGCTGGCCCCGCGATTGCCCTATACAGGCCACATTCAAAAAAGGAACTGCGGTTCTGAATGGAGGTAGAATATTGCCGATTTGGCGTAGTGGAGACTTTGCAGGACTATCCGTTTGCGACCCTGATCGTCAGCGCTTTGGGCCTGATCCTTTCTGGGAAAGGGATGCCGAGTCGCTGCCGAGTTGTTCCACCCCCAGGGACGCAAAATTCTCATCCTATTGAACTCAAGCTGTGATAGAATTATGCGATCCAAGTCATAATACCAAAATAGGGCTTCGCTGAAGTAGTTTTTGAGCATGGAGAAGATGAAACAAAAAAGATAAAAGGGTATTTGGAATGTTCTACAGTACCGATTCCAGCGGCGGAAATGTCCACACCACAACTGCCTGCTAAGACTGCACCTCAGACAAATGGGTTTGTAATTCAAGCCAAACGTGAGTCTCCTTTATCTTCAATGTTACTTTCATACTTATGGTTTTTGTGTGTAAAGATGAATGTCTCTTATCGTCGTTTGAGTGGCATTAATTGGCCAGCAATGCCATTCATGACATATCGAGACATGACTATCTCTACAAGTGGTGATAGCCTTTTCTCATGAATTTTCCCTCTCAACAAGTGTTTGTGACACATGCAGTTAGCTTTAGTACATGAAGTTGGCGATGCATGAACTGACTGATATTTTTCAGCGCAAGAAGCGAAACCTCAAACTGACAAAAACATTCCTGTAACCGAACAAATCCAGCAGACATTCAAGGTTTGTATTAATTGTGCTTGCTATTTTCAGGGATTTCATAGCGTGCAATAGAGTTACGCTGTAATTATGGCAAACAAACTTCAGGCTCTTCGTGCGGCTGTAACGGATCGTGAGAAAGAACTCTTGTCTGGTTGTGGAGTAAATTCTAAATTCGTAGATGCAAATTTTGATCACTTGATTTCGCTGATTCAGAAGTTTGGCTCAGGTCTGTTTATTAACACGTTCCGGAATTCGTGACACTTATGATGTTATACACAATTGTCTCGACGCAGTGCTTTATTTGGTTAATCTGGATTTCCTTTCATGTCCCAATGTTGTCAAAACACGTCTTAGATCGCGAAGGATACCCATCACATAAGCTATTGCAAAAATGAAATTGCTGATGAATTATTGATCAGAAAAGATGAAATGGCCTCGAGGTGCACGCAGAGCGGCGGTCCGCAATGTGTCAAAACTGCCTAGATGGGGATGTGTTGACCAGGTGAAGTATTCTGCCAACAAAGTTATTCATGTTTGGCCGTGGCAGGGCATCTAGCTATCTCTGCGCGAGGGTATCTACCTTCCCCCACCCCTCGGCGGATCTTTTGAGGCGTTTTGTGGTGATCGTATTGAAGAAAAGGATGTGCAGGTCATATTTTGCAAATTTTCCACATTTCCGCAATGTATCGTGAGGGGACGGCTAACATTAGACCTGAAGACGGTGACATCTTTTTGTTGGTTGCTATCAACGTGCTTTTCTCCGGCCTATGCGCTTTTTAATGGCTGAGAATTGGTGAAAAACCTCCCTCTGGGGCTAGTTTGGATGTGAACCATATTTGATGGAACTCAACTGCTCACGAAAGAACCTCCTTAACGGATGGTATTCTGACGTGCGTTTAACGTGTGAACTTCCACCTGGCTATCGAATCTTGTTGAAGCATCAGCAAGCTAAACCCTACTTGTCTTCTTGATACTTTCGGGGCAATCATTTAACGATAGTGTCAGGAAATGGGAATACAGGCCTGATTGTCACACAGAGGGCAATTGTATTTTGTGATAGAACAATGGAGCGGAATCGATCGAAGAGGTATTATGTGATTTATGTGGTCATGACCGTGTTTCATCGCCATCCTGCTGTCGTTACATCAAGGTAACTCTCTATGCTGTAAGTCTAACGAAGTAGGGTATTTCCAGCGTTATTCGGAGGATTGGATTTTCGCGACAGTTTCACTGATTTCTAGGCCCGAAGAAGTTGGGCATGCGTGGGAGCAAATGACAATCAGCTAGGGCAGATTCGAGGTGCCGCTAAGTATTTTCGTCAGTTCTTTCGCGGTTGAATGTCTTCTTCAGAACGGTCATTCGCTTCGTACCCAAGTTTCGACTCCAAAAGGGTGCGGCAATTGTGTTAGCGCGTTTCATGCTTGCGCTCGTCGAGAAATGCGGAAAACGCAAGAGTAGCGGATCTGCGAGAGAGCAATAGATCTAATCGATGAAGAAATGCGAAATGGAATGAGAAGTGGGGAAAGTGAGAATGATCGAAAAGGCATTACATCTTATCGATTTGAAGAAATGCGAGAAGTGCGAAATGAAGAATGCGGAGTCTGGCAAAAATGCTGAACTGCAGAGTGCGAAAGTGCGAAGTGGGATCTGCGAAGCAATAGATACTTATCGACTTGAAAATGCAGAAATGCCGAAAGTGAAGAAGTGCGGAATCTGCAGAAATGCCGAAAGTGTGGAAAATCGATACGTATCGGTTGCTTTTCTGCACATTCCGCACTTTCGGCATTTCTGCAGATTCCGCACTTCTTCACTTTCGCATTTTGTGCGATTCGGTTTCTTTCACTTTCGGCATTTTGCATTTCTCAGATTGTGGGTATCGAGATGCTTTTTGTCATTTTGTATTATTCGACTTTCTGCATTTTCGATTTTGCATTTATTCACAACGGCACGCTACGAACGCGGCTACTCCCTGGACGATTTTGTTCAGAGCGGTGAACGAAGAAAATTGGTGAACTCTAGAGACCGTCTTTCAGTTTCCGAAGTTATAGTATGTGTATAGGTGCATGTAGGAGTACTCGAGTCCTGCTACTCTATGTCTGGGACGTTTCTTTTTTCTTACCATAAACACACTTGGATCGAATTGAATTGGTAACAGTTGGTGCTAGGAATGCGCTTTTTCAATTGATCACATTGGCATTGGCACCACATAAATCACAGCTGAGAAAAAGAAGATCAAGGGGAGCGTGCACTTCCTATTCCTCACCCTAATAGTTGTATGCTACTGTTACTGCGGAGGATATTTCGCTCTGTAAAAAAGACACCTCCCTCTGCGCTCTTGTTCCTGGGGCGTATCCTTTTATAGGGCGCAGAAGCCACGGATATTCCAAGTGTAGCAAAAGTTTTTGTCGCGTTTGAATAATGACTTGTCCTACTTCATCTCTTAAAACTGTCAATTAATAGTCATACCAGTGATTTGCTTAATGTCCTTAGGATGCGTTCATACTTACTACGGCGTCGTCGATATCGACGTAATGACGTCTTCGGCGGTTACGCCGCGTAGGTGATAGGTATCGATCGGACGTCATTAACGTAATCGGCAACCGCGCTCGTGGATTAGATATCGATTTTACGCAGTCGTCATAACAGATGTAATAGACGTTTTCGACGTCGGATCGATACGTATCTAATTTTATGAGCATAGCTGCCAGTTGCATCAGATCATGTCGAATCGATACATACCATTTTCGTGGATAACTCGCCGAAGACGTTGGTCACGTCGATGTCCAGGACGAGTGATGTGAGACGAGGTGGTAGGCCGTGAGCGCAGCCTTGATTATCAATAGTTCTACAAATTTTTTTTCACTCAGTGAATATTCTCACGTCTTTGAAACCGAAACTGCTAGATGGTAAGTATAGGCAAAAAAGGCAGAACAGTTTTCGCAGTATTAAGATACTTTGTGTGCTCTTCGTCACGTCCCTGCAACTTTGCGAATAAAAATGCCTAGCATCTCAGAAAATACTAACGTACTTACGTACCCAAATAAAAAGAAGCCAAATCTATGAACAAGATCAAAACTATGTTTTATTTGCAATGTGCCGAATTTCAGTTGCTGAGACGTCACCGCGAGGTGCATCTGCTCCAACGGGTACCGCCGCTATGCCGAAAGCTGTGTCTCCAGTTCAGGCTGCTGCTATTAAACACGCTACTAGTCAGTCCAGTATTTCAAGCTCACTGGGAGCGGACTCGGGTGTGAATCTCAGTCCCACTCATAAAGGTGTGTTGTTTTAGTTCAAGCCCTGTGCTGAATTTTCTCGTATATTCTCATGTTCCATACCGTTTACATTACAGAGGAGAAGAAGCCAGCACCGGAAAGCAAGCCGAAACCAGCCAAGGTCGTCAGTGGTGGCATTATGATGCAGTCAGATGCGCTTACACCAGAACAGTTAGAAGCACTGCAGCGTTCGCTGGCTGAACAATTGGCCGCATGTGGCATTGATGCCTCAGTTCTGTCTGGTGTCACTGGTGGTGACATGCCGGTACGTCGTCCTCGTAAAGTGGACGGACCCAAGAGAGGGGGAGTCGTAAAGAACGAAAAGACTTCTATACGTCCCCAACTATCCATCCTTTAGGCGTGGAATCTTCCACGGATGTTATTTGTTTGCTCACTTGCTATACGCCGATTATTCTCTTGTTTTCTTTTCCAATACTTTGGCCGTTATGTATACCGATATCTTTATAGAAGCATAGGCTTATCGTTTCCATTTGTTTTCCATTTCACGTTTTCATATCTGAATCATGAGTGGCCTTACTATGCACACGAGGTGATGAAACCTCGATTCATTGTGATCAGCTGTAGAATGTTTTTTTGCTACCAGTCGAATCGGTGCCTTTCTTGTGGGATTCCCGTATACGATTGTTCAGCCGTTCCTTCTTTTGTTTTCCTCTCCTCTCCCCTTTCCTTGTTTCCATTTCCATTCTGCACGTATTGTGATTACGTTGCGATGGAGATCATCGCTGCATGTCAGCTGCACCTTGTGATTTACTACTCTTGCATTAGCTTCTCCTAATATCCAAAAATTCGACTTTATGTACGCACTAAACCAAATATCTATTATTCGAGTGGGATAAATAATTTATTGCACATAACTTATCGTACTTTCACTCAGGCTCACTCCATGCGTTCAGTTTCCTTTGATGTGGTGGGAGGTCTTCGTAATCAGATTTCGTAACCATTGTGTGGTATTAGTACTAAGATATAGTTCAGTTAATGGGACCAGAAATGGGCCTGGGACCGCTATTTACCCATGAAAGCTCTGCATTTCGCCAAATTTCACGTTTGGTGGGCAGTTGGGCGGGGGGGGGGAGGGGGGTGGGGCATTTTGGCACTTGCGCTTCTTTTCAGAGAGCCCTTCCCTTAGATTACATGAATTGGCAGGTTTACCATGGTAGCTAGACGAGCTTGCTTTGATTTCAGAAGAGTTCACAGGTTTCGCCAGGGGAGACTTGTAAACGAACTAGTGAAACAGCGACTCCCTCCGCCTCCCTCCATCGCCGGAGCGGCGCGGCACTTTCCTCCCTGCAGAGAACGTGCTCAAGTCAAGCTATAGAAAACGATGGTGCTCAATGTTGAAGACCTAGGGGCTGTTCATGCCGTTGCACTTTGCGTTCGTTGTTCTTCAATGTCGAGCTCAAGATCATGGACTTGGACACTTTGACGGGATGATAGTTTGTGGTTAGAAATGCTCCCTTATGGTGGGTCGTGAGAGTTTGTTTTAAGAGCCGCTTCACCGCTTGAGCACAGTCGGTGAAATCGATTCGTGGATTCTCCCTATTCCGAAATTCCGTCTGTTGTTCTGCGCACCCGAGGTGTGGTGATGGTGATGAAGTCGCCGTATGCTAGTTGCTGCGATGGTATATATTATACAGGCGATAACAATAATTGGTCAGTAAGACGTTCATTATAAATGCTAGCATACGTCCAGTTGTTGTAACTGATTTGAGGAAGGATGGAACCCTTACCTGGCGACGGTCATTTTGACCCCGTTGTAAGGTGCGGAGATATCGTCGTCGCAGACGGTAGGACGACGAGGGATGTGATCGTTCTCAGAGACCACTATACCTCAATTCTGCTGAAATGCACGGTTTCCGGGATTATTCATCACTTCTCAGGTGGTCTTTTTCACCACTTCTCCCAGTTCCATTATTTTTCACCATGCATTCCTTTTTACATAGGCCTCATTGGCATTGGGGCACATGGGTCCCTTGCTACCTTCCTATGCAACATATCTACTACGCGGCCGCCTCCCTCGACCTCTTCATTTTTGATTTTTCCTCCCGTTAAACTAATTGTAAGGCATAGAAGAGGCTTGCATTGGTCACGCAGTGGTGTGAATTATAGCCCACTCACAATGAATTGCGACGTACATGCGGTGGCTGGTTGCGATAAGAAAATTATGGGGAAGAGGAAATTAGTGAGTGAGCGGATCACGGATCACTTGATTCTGGAATTCTCATTACACCTTCCGTGTTGCTTAATATCGATTAATAATACCGACGGATTCTAATTTCTCAGATTTAAGATGGAACGAAGTGAAAAGAAAAGGCAGGGTTACACTCGACAAGATGAAGCCAATATGTGGATGTTTCTGTACAGGTGAGGATTAACGAACTATTTGAACTAACACCTAGCATGACTTATCGGAGAATTATCTTCCACTATATATAATTCGCAACGTCTTTCTGCTTGTTTGTCTGTCGGGATGTTCGGTTCTACCTGAAGAACAACTTGGAGAATTGAATTGACCTCAGGATCCGGGGTAGAACATCAACAGATGAAAAGAGCCCACAAAACCCACAGTAAACCCCGCCCACAGTGGGCGGGCGTGCGCTGTAAGTTAAAGGTGTCACCTGAAATTCATTGTTCGGCTCCAGAGCGGCCCCGAGGTGTGGGAAAAAGAATAAGGTTTGCAAAGGGTCGACAGATAAGACGGAGTTGAACGCCCAAAATGAGGGTGGCGTTCGTACGGTCAGGCGGTTCTTCCCACAAAAATCCCGCAAGTAAGTCTGTGCGTGTTTGTTTCAACATGCTGCCGTTGTCAAAAAAAATTTTCCAGGAATCTATCTGTTGATGTGACAGGAGATGTAGGTCGCAACCGAACAAAATAGTTGGGGAATCAAAGGTTTACACTGAGGACGTCTTGGCGGTGGTAACATCCAGGTTCCCCGTGTGACACACACTTTGACTTTGACTTCTCCCGCTTAAAAGTAAAGAGTTAGCAAAGGGGACCAGATGTGCATAGGTGATGACTGATGCAGAGCTATTTTCAGCCCACTCTTCTACATTTTCTTCAAAAAATGCCGTGTGACCATTAGGCTCCAGGTCGCCTGGAAGAGCGCCTAGCGCAGACAAGTCAGCACGGCGAAGCCGAGCTGTGACATAGAAGGAGGAGCGTCCGGCGACAGCTGGGCGGTCCGAATGGTAATATGCTAAGAATCTACCTACGGGTTCCGATGGAGGATAATCTGTGCTCAATGAAGAGATCGGTTTTGTAGGAATGATGACCTGTGGGAATATTGCTTGAATTTTCATATTCTCGTTTTAGAACCGTTTAACAACCGTAAACGATAAATCGTTAACCCTCAACGGATGGTTGACAATTAGAGCGCATTTGATAACGTTTCTAATGTGCTGCATTTCAGAAAGCTGAGCCAGGCCAGTGCGGCTGCTTATGAACCAAAGGGACGGGTCATCTGGGAACAGTACGTACAGACTGCTGACGTTTGACTACTCAGTAATTATTTTTCCGAAAACTGTTAGCTCATGTCGCCAAAAGTGGCGTGGCTGGAGAGCATATTTATTCCACGAGTTGCATGGTTTTCGGGCTAACCTAAGCACCATCACCTTTAGTTTTCGACGGCACATGTTCAATAATCTCTACAATGCTGCTCTGGAATGTAATGTAATGATGTTTATTTACCGTCGACTTCGAATTAAAATGGCTCGCCCTGTCAAGAAAGCGTAGGTTTTTATTGTTTATTGCTTTTCCAATTTTGAATTGAGAGGGACCATTCAACGACTGGCTTCGCGAGAAGGGTTTTTGGCTGCTGACTTTCCTCCTCGAGTTTTCGTAACATCCCACATGGGTCGCTCACCGCAACAAAACAGTGGAAGACGTGAAACACCCTGTATTCCTTATCATGCATTTCGTCATTACTTGCTGTTATATTTTTACAAGAGAGGGGAATATAAGTCAGGGTATCTGTAACACTTACTGACACATAGTATCGAATACTGAGGCTACCGTGGTCGCAGCGAGGTAGATCATTGGTATGTGTGAAATGGTGGTGTTAGTACGACCTCTACTACACTGGAGTCTGGGTACAACTTGCTTTCTCCGACTGCTGTTAAGGACGATTCCCGCGACCAAGTATTACGGGTAGTAGTAGCAGTAGGCAATCATGTACCAGTAGCCGAGCCGATTAGTAACTCCCCGGTAAAAAAAACCTCCGGAACACTCTGAACAGAGACACTCTTAGCAGTGGGGCTGGCGCCCTGGACGAGTTTGTCGGACGTCGGCAAGCCCAATCAGCAGATTTGACGTGCAACCAGCTCCCGGCAAGAGCACAGGAAATCACCCTACGACGCTCTAGGCAATGCTGTGTACACGCAATTCCGCTTATAAGCCGTTGTCTTGCAGAGTGAAGTTAATCGTGGTTGCGTTTCTAGCTTCATTATCTCGTCGTTTTGAGTGGCGAAATTGGTATATTCTCTGCGAATGCGGATAACGATCCCAAATGCACAGAGGCTGCGGATCACTTGATCGCGTGAACTGTCTTTAACACTTTAACGACCCCAAACATTTTACTGCTATCGAGCGGAGCGGGAGCGCAAAGAAATATAGCGCGACTGAAACAAGGGAAAACCACAGCATCAAATATGACCACCTTAATAAGATTCACATAACAATAATTTATGTCGAATTGCAGAGTAGTACATGAATGTTAGCAGATATAATCATACTGAATATCTGTTGGTCGTAGTCTGCTTTTACTCGTCAATAGCTTCACCTAACCGCCATTACCACTCTCCCTCACCTGCTACCTTAGCTCCTTATTGGGTGACCGAGTTACCAAATTTAATCGTCGGCTCTATACGGCTCAGAGAGGGCATTTTACCCTTTTCGCTAGTTTGTTTTGCTAATTCCTGTTAATTCACTATTCCAACCTTGGCAAGACTTGTAGACTCTTGTCAGGTATAAACGAAGCTCAATAGCTTCAGGGGAATTTACAAGTCTTCTCAAGGAGCATCAGC